CCTTACTAGTAGTAACAAGGACGCTACTAGTAGCAAAGGGCATCGCTACAAACGGAGCAAGGAGGACGCTACTAGTAGCCTTGAAGGAAAGAACGAAAGGTCTCTCGAGTCGAGAGGTCTAAACATTAGGAGACATCATATGCAAAAGGAAGAGCATTCCCAAATCTTTCCCTGCGGCCCAGGACTACACCCTGAACTAGACCTGATAGTCCCTGACGTGTCCTGCAGGGAGATGTGCTCGAATCGCCTCAGTACAAGATTAAGGAAAAGGGGCGGGCGTGGAAGCAGCTCAGTTTCTTTCAACGAAACACTCACGGTGGTTTGTTTCGACCCCAATGCTCACTGATGATAGCGAACGCTGACGTTCCGAGATCATTTTACACTCAAACCTTAACAGGCCGGCCTTTCATGCATCACGGCAACCATATAGACACCGACACTGTCAATGTAATAGGCCTCGATCATCCGGCACTTCGCCGAAGGCTGCGCTGCATGGATCGCTACTAGGAACAAGTGCATCGCTACTAGTAACAAGTGCCTTACTAGTAGTAACAAAAAAGCTAGTAGTAACAAGTGCCTTACTACTAGGAACAAGAAGCTACTAGGGGCTCCTGGCCTTACTAGTAGTAACAAGAAGCTACTAGAAACAATGGACCGGATTCTGCAGACCGTATATTCTGCTGTAAAGGTGCACCGTGAAGCTCCTGGAAGGGCATAGCTTGTACCACATTGTTGATCTCCCCACCCTCTAGATTGTGTGGCACTGTGGCCATCTAAATTGGCAATTGTGGTGAACAGCCATCCAGCAAACGATCGCTTCATGTCCAACAGTGTCCAAAAACTTCCAAGGTGGTTGAAGTGCCCAGCAAAAAGAGGAATATGGAAGAAGACAAAGAAAGCAACTCGCCCGCTCTCTCACCTTCTACATTAGATACCACTATGCATATATATATATACATAATATATATATATATCTTTATGTCTACTTTTCTTGTCTCTTCTTCACCTTACTACATGAAGCAGCAGGGAGCAGCCTAGGTTGCTTCCGAGATGCAACAATGCCTGGGCTGGGAAGCAAGTTGGATCGTTTCAAAACAAGACTTTCCCAATTGGCACTGACACCGTGCACCATAGTGTTCAAAGCGTGAAAGCTGGGTCTGCATAAGCCCCAAAGGAACAAACACCTTCGAAATAACCTGGGAGTTTGTGCAAATGGCTTCGCTTGGCAGTGTGTGCTTCGTCAGCGCATTTAGGTCCTATGCTTGGGTCATACCAACAAAGCGTGTTTGTCACTCGACCCCTAGGTGACTCTAGATGCAGGAAGAAGCGTGGGTGCAAGCATGCGCCATTCCAAGTACACCAAAACAGAATTGAACCAACAGAATTGTCCTTGTTCCAGGCCGCTTTCTTCGTGGGAAATCCTAAGATGATACTCCCACAAACTAGGAACAAGAAGCTACTAGGGCCTCCTGGCCGTACTACTAGGAGCAAGGATGCTACTAGGAACAAGTGCATCGCTACTAGTAACAAGTGCCTTACTAGTAGTAACAAAAAGCTATAGAATTTGAATCTAATTAAAATTAGTACTAATTTGTTACTGCTAGCTTCTTGTTACTAGTAGTAAGGCACAAGAAGCTACTACGTAGGAGCAAAGGGCATCGCTACGAACGGAGCGGATCGGACGCGACTCGGAGCGGCTCCAAGGAACAGAAGGTGGCTTCTCGGCAAGCAGCAATCCAATAGTCCCTGAGGCTCCCAGTAGCAGGTGCCACGCTAGTAGTAACAGGTGCCTTACTACTAGTAACAAGAAGCGAACGTAGTAACAAATTAGTACTAATTTTAATTAGATTCTGATTCTAATTAAATTCTATAGCTTTTTGCTACTACTAGTAAGGCACCTGTTACTAGTAGCGTGGCACTTGTTACTACTAGCTTCTTGTTAGTGTCTGAGTTTCTGCGGTTTCCGAACAGGTAATTTATCAGGAAGCTACTAGTAACAAGTGCCACGCTACTAGGAACAAGTGCCTTACTACTAGGAGCAAGAAGCTATAATTTAATCTCTTGAAGGTTCTCTTGCAAACGCTACCATTCAAATGGTCCAAAATGGTCCAAAGACTTCTTGCCCCAGCGGCAGCTCTTTTCCAAGACCTCGCAGTCTCCACAGCAAACCCACCACCTCAACAGTCAGGCCGGTCAGGGTGGGACACCGCTCAGGGTCACTTGGTCAGAACGGTTGGCTTGAAACCTTCCGACGGAACCCAAAACGGTCTCTCGAACATGGCCCTCCGCCTGAAGACTTTGCTGCAATGTCTGAGAGACGTGTGCTCTGTCTTTCTTTCTTCGCCGTCTCTGAGCTCTGTGTTGTTTCTTTCTTAAAACCATTCTTCCTTCCTTTCCGTCTTCCTTTCCTTAAAGGTGGGTCTTGAAAGAGATCCGCTTGGGTGCCGCCAAAGACACCAGGAAGACCCATCCTACATAGATGGACCATTCCGGTGCAGATTTGCCGGAGATCAAGCCTCTCAGATTGACGACGATGCCGCATTTGCATCGTTTTGCAAACTCACAACGACCACCAACCTTAAGCTTGACCCCACAACAAACCTGGCAAAGATCCTCAAGCACCATGAAAAATAGAAACAAACACGGCTTCTTTCAGATGTGGCCTGCAGTGAAGACCGCCAAATGCAAACACTCCAGCGCGGACGGCGCCATGGGATTTCATCACGACACCGGACACCGCAGCTATGTGTCTGGGCGATACGACATGGACGTGCGCACCACGTGTCTCGTGGGATTTCCTAGTGCTTCTCTCTATTGGCGTCTTGTCAACCATAGCAATAGAGCGATAGCAAAGCCCTTCATGGATGTCTTGTTCCGTTCTGATTCCAAGTTCGAAGTGTTGGAAGCATCTTTCAACGGCTTAATTTAGAGGAAGCAATGCCATGTTGCTTCTTCAAAAAGGTTCACCGTTGTCAGTTGGTCACCTTTCTGCTCATGAGCGGCCATGGTATGCCCTGATCACAGCTGCAAGATATTCGAGGCTTGGAACAAGACCTGATCACAATGTCTTGCTGTCGGTGCCCCCAAATATGCTCAAGACCTAAGTTGGGTCAAGCTATCTTGGAAAAGGATATTCTTTGAGGATGTTGGACAATTGGAGGCGGCTTATCAAAGGGACAAGTGAAATGGTCTTCGGTCTGGACATTCCTGATTGGAATGAGACATGACACGAATGAGCACTTGGAACAAACTTTCGTTGCCACTTCGTGTGCTGGCAGAAATCCACATCTGGCCCCGACAAGGGAACAATAAGCTACTAGGAACAAGTGCATCGCTACTAGTAACAAGTGCCTTACTAGTAGTAACAAGAAGCTATTAGGAACAAATAGCTATTAGTTAGAAACAAACAAAGGCTCCTCCTCTATGGCCTCTTCTGGCCCCACCATTGCTTCCTGCAAAAAGAGAGCACTTCTTGCGTGAACTTCTTGAAGGCTTTAGCTTGATTGGACCAAAGAGTCTACTTGAACTATACAATCTGCTTCTACTACTTGAACTTCCCCAAGCCCCCAACTGCGCTCTTTCAATGCCTATCGAAAGGGTCTTTTTGTGGACCAATCGCTCTCCGCTTTGCTTTCTTCCTTTTCGAAAGCGGCCTCTGTTTCGGTCCGTCCTTGGTGAGCTTCAAGATGTCCTGCACCTCCGTCCAACGCTCCAGGACCTGTCACACCGTCCCGGATTAGACCTCCGGAGACCACCATATATGGCCAAAAGTAGACCTGTTACTACTAGCGTGGCACTTGTTACTAATAGCTTCTTGTTACTACTAGTAAGGCACTTGTTACTAGTAGCGTGGCACTTGTTACTAGTGCCAAAAAATTCGTCGTGTCCTTTTTCTTAGAAAGCTTACTAGTAGTAACAAGTGCCACGCTAGTAGTAACAAGTGCCTTACTAGTAGTAACAAGGATGCTATTAGTAACAATGTTTGCTACTAGGACCAAGTGCATCGCTAGGCACAAAGTAGAGAGTTGAGCCAACAGAGTTGTCAGTGTATTTCTACCGGGGTAGCAGGCCTCTAACAAGCCAGTGCTGCGCGTTTCTTGAGTGAAAGCAAGAGCTTCATAACAAAAAAAAACAACCTGCGGCATCGCGTGCCTCGCCAGCAATGGCCTTCCGCGCAGTGATGTCCAGATTCATGAAGATCTGGACACACTCAGAGACCTGCAGGTCTTTGGAGGATTTGTTGCAGGACGATCAGGACGAAGGGCCTCCAAATACTTTTGGAAATCTTTGGAATACAGTAATCCTGGAAAGCTCATCGATGACCCGGGAAGTGTGGAACTCTGCAAACTATATGAGGACCAGGATAACATCCTTACATATCCTTACATTCTTCCACTCTGTCTATGGCTGAGGATCTTTGAGATACTTCTTGTTCCATGCTCTTTTGAGCTCACCCAAGCATGTAAGTACTGGATCTTTGGCCCAGCTCGATATTTGTGCGTTTTTTGCATCCACGCCTTGCTGGGAAAGAGCACCGAGTTCTCTTGCAACATGGGTTCCAAGAAGTTTGCTTGCCAAAAGAGCATCATGATGCTCTTCTCGAACTCCTCCAACCGGGCAGACGGCGACGGTTTAGGTGACCAACTCACAAATAGCAGTGCCAGGTTTGGCTTGCAGAATAATGGATGCTTACACAGGAAAACAGCCACCATGATGAGTCTTGGGCAAGCGCACATGGTCTTTTCACTCCATTTTGCATGAAGAACTTATCCAACAGTCCAACAATCCTTCCCTGCCAGAATGCTGCCTTTTTCGTAACCCCATAGGTGTTGGCCCTGACCAAAACCGCTCAAGACAGGTGCAAACGCCTGGAGCACTTCGCCCACTTCGTCAGAGAACTCTTGCATCCTTACAAAGGCTCCACACAGTTCGACTCCCAAAGAAAAGGACGCAACATTTCGTGAAAAACTTCCATCAAACGAGACACAGGCGAATCAGTGTTCCAAAGATTTTGCCCAAAAGACCCTTAAGTGGCCCCCAACGTGCAGGGCCTTCAGTGCGTTTGGGACTCTTTTCCGAATTCTCAGTGAACTTCTTCAGTGCGTCTGTTACTACTAGCTTCTTGTTACTACTAGTAAGGCACCTGTTACTA